GAACTGAGATTACTTCGTTGTTTCTGAGATTGCACCCAAGTAATGCATTTTGGACTCTTGTTGACCATGAGGGCTTCTCAGTTTCTTCTGAGGGATTCTTGCCCACAGTGGTAGATGGTCATCTGAATTAAAGTCATCCATTCCCATCCGTTTTAGTTCACTGATTCCTAGGATGTTGATGTTCACTCTTGCCATCTCCTGCTTGACCTCGTTCAATTTATCTTGATGGACCTAACATTCCAGGTTCCTATGCAGACTTTACAACCACACACATCCATAGCTGAGTGTTGTTCCCATGTTGGCTCAGCCACTTCATTCTTTCTGGAGCTATTGGTAATTGCCCTCTGTTCTTCCCCAGTAGAATATAGGACCCCTTCCCACCTGGGGGGCTCATCTTCCAGTGTCATATCTTTTTGCCTTTCGTACAGGTACTCCTGTCCTTGGGTTCTCCAGGCAAGAATACTGGAATGGATTGCCATTTCCTCCTCCAGTGGACCACATCTTGTCAGAGCTCTTCACTGTAACTCATCGTCTTTGGTGGCCCTGCATGGCGTGGCTTATAGCTTCATTGAGTTACAAAGCCCCTTTGCCACAGGAAGACTGTGATCCATGAAGGGGAAAGCTGACCAGCATATCCCTTCTCCATTTAGGACATTGTCTCTCCCCCAGGTTTACCATTCCTACTTGTCCATATCAGTGCACTTGCTTGGAATGACCTTTTTAGCTCTGAAATGTATCTAGTTTTCAAGTCTTAACCTCCATTATTCTTCTACTTAATCATTCTTTGGTTCACCAGAATTGAGTGCCAAGCCCTGCCTTTGATGTTGAAGAAATGGATGTGACACAGTCCCTGCTTTTGATGATCTCCTCTTCAGTCTGTTAGAGACAGCCCTGAAATAGTGACACTCCCGTTTGGGAAGAGCTATGTAATATGTGTCACAGAAAAATACGGTTTAGAATGATTTAGGACCTGTTGCTTTGATTGGTTTAAGCTTATAGCCCACCCTGTAGGAAGCTTCCTGCCTGGATAATCAGGTTGACTTTGTATTAAGTAAGTAAGGATAGATTTAAATAAAACAACACTGGAAGCCCAGAAACTGAAACCAGATAATGTTGTGGTATTCAGTTCAGTTCAGTCGCTCAGTCGTGTCCAACTCCTTGCAACCCCATGAATTGCAGCACGCCAGGCCTCCCTGTCCATCACCAACTCCCGGAGTTTACTCAAACTCATGTACATCGAGGCGGTGATGCCATCCAGCCATCTCATCTTCTGTCGTCCCCTTCTCCTCCTGCCCCCAACCCCTCCTAAGCATCAGGGTCTTTTCCAGTGAGTCAGCTCTTCACATGAGGTGGCCAAAGTATTGGAGTTTCAGCTTCAGNAAGCCGGTCAGGTGGTCTGGTATTCCCATCTCCTTCAGTAAATATTCACCGGTTTAGCCTACACTGCCAGGCACTGCAAAGTCTTTGTCCTCGTGGAGCTTGTAATATACGTGAAAGGCAGAAAAATATGTAAACAAAGTAAGAAATAATTAGGATTTCAAGCTGTGATAAATTGTGATGAGAGACTTTCCTAGGGATTCAGTGGTTAAGAATCCACGCTTCCTCTACAGGGAGTGTGGGTTCCATCCTTGGCCAGGGAACTGAGATCTCACATGATGCATGGTGTGGTCCCCCCCAAAAAAAATGTGAAGAGAAAATAAGAGGATAGAGGATAACTGTGAGCAGGGATCCTACTTTGAGTGGATTGATGAGAGGAGGAAGGGCTCTTTTAGAGATGACATTCGAACAAAGACCCTAAGATAAAGAGCCAGCCGGCCGAATGGGGGAAGAAGGATACAGGTGGGAGGAGTATCCACCGTGCAGACCCCTTGGACAGCAGGAAGACCCCCTGGAGCATAAGCACCATGAGGACAAGCACGTTTGTCTCTTTAGTCTTGTGCTACCTCCAGCTCCTAGACCAACAGCTGGTATATCAAAGCACTCAACATGTTCATAGCCTAGTAAGCGGAGGACGCATGGCAAGAGGCCACGTTAGAATTGTGGCAGAGGCCAGCTTCTTCCAGCCTTATAGAGGCCATGGAAGAAGGTGGAATTTCTTTCTAACTAAAGAGGAGCCTTAGAGATTTCAGCAGGGGCCTCCAGAATCTTTTAATGGCAGCGTGTGAGATCTAGTTCCCTGACCAGAAAGAGAACTCGGGCACCCTGCCTTGAGAGCGCGAAGTCTCAGCCATTAGTCCGTGAGTTCATGTTTTAAGTGATCCAGGTAAGAAATGATGAAGAGTTAGGAGCCTGGGGTGTGACATCAGACAGCCTAGGTTCATCCTGCTTGTGCCACTTATTTGTGTGACCTTGGGCAGATTTTATTTATTTATTTTTTTTTCCCATTTATTTTTATTAGTTGGAGGCTAATCACTCTACAGCATTGCAGTGGTTTTTGTCATACATTGAATCAGCCATGGATTTACATGTATTCCCCATCCCGGTCCCCCCTCCCACCTCCCTCTCCACCCCTTGGGCAGATTTTAAGAAACCATATTTTTAAGCCTCAGTTTTCCTGTGTGGCGAAAGAGAATGATAATATCTATCTCACAGTTTTGGAAAGAGGTTAAATGGGCTCAACGTAGGCCCTGGTTTTTAAAAATGCTGACCAGTATTACTTTAGGGTAGGGGTTGATGGAGAAGAGAGGCAGGTGTGAGAATTGTTGAAGGAGTGAAATTGACAGAACTTGTAGATGATTGGGAATGCTTGGTGAGCATGAAGCCTTGCTCCTTGAAAAAGGTTCTAAATTAAACCCGTTTCTTCATTTGTAAAATGGGGCCCTAATAGTCTCTTAATTTATTCCTAGTAGCTTCCTGATTCATTTACCTCACCTGGTTATAGCTTGTGAAGATCAGCTGAGGTGAGGTGTGTGTTTGTTGATCATGTGAAAAAGGGAAAGACGACCAGATGAGTAATAGGAAGTGAGGAGAAGAGTATTTAAAGATGGTTTTGAAATCTGGAGCCAGGATGACTGTAAAAGTGTCAAGAAGACATGAATGGATCTGGTGACTGTCATATACAGTGAAGTAAGTCAGAAGGAAAAAGACAGATATCATGTATTAACACATATATGTGCAATCTGAAAAAATTGTGGTATAAACGATCTTATTTGCAAAGTAGAAATAGACACACAGACATAGAGAACCAAAATATGGACACCAAGGGGAAAGGAGGAATGTGGGATGAACTGGGGGACTGGGGTTGACATATATATTCCTACTGATACTCTGTATAAGAAGATCCCTGTAAGAAGAGGAACCTGCTCTCCAGGCAGGGAACTGTGCTCTGCTCTGCGGTGACCTGCATGGGGAGGCAGCCCAAAACGAGGGGACATGGGTACACATGCAACTGACCCGCTTTGCTGGACAGCAGAAACTAGCAACATTGGAAAGCAGCTATACTCCAGGAATTTTTTTTTTTTTTAAATGGCAGGAAGAACAAACAAAATTAGAGAACTTGAAGCCAAGGCTACTTTTATTTAAAACACCCCAACATTTTGATTGTTATTAAGTATATAAGGAAAAAAATATGAAGTCCTCTATCACTTCTGCCCAATCTCACTCTCCAAGTAACTGAGTTTGTGTGTTCTTCCAGACTGTCCAAGCTCACATCAAATATATGTTCATACACACACACACACACACACACACACACACAGACTCTCACACGTGTCCGACTCTTTGCAACCCCGTGGACTGTAGCCCACCAGGCTTCTCTGTCCATGGAATTCTCCAGGCAAGAATACTGGAGTGGGTTGTCACCCCTTCTCCAGGAGATCTTCCCCACCCAGGGATTGAACCCCAGTCTCCCGCATTGCAGGCAGATTCTTTACCACTTGAGCCACCAGGGGAAACCATGTATATGTGTATGTGTATGCAAAAGAAGAAATAAACTGTGCAATACTGTCTTGCCATTTGCTTTTTTCAAGGTCCAATAAGGAATCTGTGTTTTTTTAAACCTTTTTATTTTTTTAATAAAAATGAGTTAATGGAGTCTGTACATGAATTGTTTTTAAGTGATCTACATACGATATTTTAAGTGTTTTTAACATTTGAGAATTTAGTGTTATAATTCCAATTTAAAATGTATAATTGAGTAAATAATTGACTTAGAGTTGTGATTGTAAATTGAAGCCTTTCTATATTATTGCATGCACATAATTAAAGAGTCACTGTTTTCATAAGCTTAATTTTTTAGATTTATAAGCTGTTTGAGTTCTTAGGAAATTTTGTATTTTTAAGTCAAAGGTTGTTCCTAAAATGGGTTATATTAAATTATTTAAAGTAGTTAAAATTTTATGTTTGAAAGAGTAAATGAAATCAAACATTCATCACAGCCCTTTAAAATGAAAACTCCAAATAGAGTAAGATGTCTAATTGAATGTGAAAGTTTGAGGAAAAATCTCAGCTTTTTGAACTCATAAATTAATAAGTATTAATGTGTGAAAACTAGAGTAAATCTATGCCCCCAGACTACTGTCAGGTATGAAAATAAAAATGCTTATCCGCGCTGGTAGTGTTCTGCTTTGCCTGTCTTCCCCAGTGTGTGCTGATATTCCTGGTGCTTGCTATTCATTCTGTCCTTTATGTCTTCTGAGTTCAGGTCTGTGGCCTTACTGGTCACCGGGTACTCCTCTGAGCTGTGGACAAATCGGCCATCGCATTTTTGACTTGCTAAGACAGGTATACTGGTCCAGTGATAGCAAACCACATGTGAGGTTTGTGAACCCTAGCTGGATGGTGGCTGTGGTAAACCTGAATTATTTTTCTTTGAAATGGCATCCTTATTTAAAATTTTATTTCACAAAGGCATCAACACTGTTTTGCAAGTATAGCAGCAGACTTCATTAGGCCTTCATTTCTTTTGTTTTGCAGGAAACTTTTCTTTCCTTGAACCTCATTGGATCTCTGTTTGGAAAAGTGTAACTTGTATGGAAGATCCTCCTCCAATCAGATTTGAATCGTTAACATTCTGTACTGGAATCTGTCTGGGCTTTCAGTTAACTGACTTTTTTCAGTTTGGGGAAAGTGGTGTGTTTCTTTTCTACTTAGTTTAAACCTAATTGTTTGGTTAGAAATGAAGCCTGTTGGCTTAAAAAGCGTCAAGGTTTGTGAGCCAAAGAGCTCTGTACACCTCGATGGTCAGCCCCGTTCATTAGGCCAGAGTAGAAGGAAGGTCAAGCTTATGGATGAACGGTCATATACTCTTTCAATTGGCAACGGAGACTATTTTTGGACAAATAAAGACACATTGTGGAACTATGTGCAGACTCTCTCTGGTAAGAAGTCAGTAAGTTACCTCCAAGATGAATGTTCTAAAGACTGTTCCTTGGAGATAACTTGAAAAGTGCATAAAGATAAGGAAAAAAAAATTAGTAATCCCATTGAAGTAGAATTTTTTTCCCTTAAATTTTATCTTGAAGTAAAAGAATATAGGTAGAATAATGGCTGGTTAACATGTAAGAGGCTGTTTATGAGCTCAGTTCTCTAAAATGTCTGTTTCAGAGTCTCTTGTCAGCCTTAGAGTCTAGCTTATCAAAGTGCTTCTGTCCTTACTTAGAGGAGTTTAGGAGATTTACAGTTTCTAGGGGCTTCCCCGGGTGGGTCAGTCTCCTGCCTGTAGCGCAGGAGACCTGGTTTTGAGCCCTGGCTAGGAGAGATTCCTTAGAGGAGGAAAGAGCAACCCTCTCCAGTGTTCTTGCCTGGAGAATCCCATGGACAGAGGAGCCTGCTGGGCTCGTGGGCTCCAGTCCATGGGGTCGCAGAGTCGGACACGACTGAAGTGACTACCCCACCACCACCATAGTTTCTAGAGGATAATGATAGCAGTGGCCACATGAACCAGTCTGCTTCTGGTGGAAAGTAGCGCTTAACTCGTCAGTGCCTTGGTGAATTGTCTTGTGTTTCCCTCTGCCCTGTATTTATAAATCACAATTTATAAATGACGTTTGGACCCAGAAGCCCTGTTAAAGAATGCCATCTAATGTAGAGAGGCTGTATTTTAGAAAAAGCTGTGGAGATAACTTGATGGCAAACTAAGAATTGGGGGTATTTGGTTTCAACTTAATGCACTTCTGTATGAGGGGAGATACATCAGGTTTCCTTTAAAAAAATTTTAAGTATTAATATTTATGTTCATTGTTATTATGACTATACCTAGAGTTGAGGTTCCATCTCGATCTAAACTCATACTTTGCTTTTTGGGGATCCTAAAATCCTGTGTCCTTATTTTTACACATTTTAAAGAAATTGGTTGGAGAAGGAAATGGCAACCCACTCCAGTATTCTTGCCTGGAAAAGTCCATGGACAGAGGAGGCTGGCGGGCTGCAGTCCATGGGGTTACATGACTGAGCATGTGTGCACAAGGGTGGAGGGAGATGGGTTGGTAGCAATAAAGTGGTAGAACTAAAACAAACCAAAAAAATAAATAAATAAATTGGTCTTTACCGTAATTGTGCACTTGAAAGTTTTGCCAGGCAGGTGTATTGTGTAAGCAGTTGAGTTAACAGAAACTCACTGTTACTGGCTTTTTAAAGAAAAAGCTGTTTGACAGAGTCTTCTTAAACCAGTGAGCTCTCTTCATCAAACTATTAGTTTTTCCTTCCTGTTAGGACTCAGTGCTTATCTCTGTATGCATAGTGAAAATGAAATACTAATTTATGTAACTAATTATCAGAAGTAACACTTCTTCTAAACCCAAATACCAGAATACCTTTTTTTTTTGGTAGCAGATCTAAGTCTTAGATGAGTTCACAAGTTGCATTTTCTTTTAAAGATTCTCGAGTATTCAGTCTAATAATAGGGGTTTCACAGTGATCTAAGGAGCTATCCACACTAAATCTAATTTCATTGTTTATTTGTATATTTAAAGTGCAGAAATAAGTATTTTGTTAAAGTAGAAAAGCCACAGTGGAGTCCTTAGTTGTTCTGTGATAGGGAAGGTGGGAAGGAAGCTAATATTTAGTTACATCTCTAAGCAGAGAGACAGGTGGCCACGGGGAGACTAGACTGGAAATGTGACTAATTCTGAGACATGTGTTTTCATTGTACCGTGATGATAGGGAAACTGGGAGTCTTTACTGGCTGCTGTTATGTGCCTGGCCAGGGCTTCCACATGCTCATCTCTCACACCAGCAAAGTAATGCTCAAAATTCTCCAAGCCAGACTTCAACAGTATATGAACCGAGAACCTCCTAATGTTCAAGCTGGACTTAGAAAAGTCAGAGGGACCAGAGATCAAATTGCCAACATTCACTGGATCATCGAAAAAGCAAAAGAGTTCCAGAAAAACATCTACTTCTGCTTTACTGACTACGGCAAAGCCTTTGACTGTGTGGATCACAACAAACTGTGGAAAATTCTTAAAGAGAGGGGAATACCAGATCACCTTACCTGCCTCCTGAGATCTGTATACAGGTCAAGAAGCAACAGTTAGAACTGGACATGGAACAATGGATCGGTTCCAAATTGAGAAAGGAGTACATCAAGGCTGTATATTGTCACCTTACTTATTTGACTTATATGCAGAGTACATCATGCAAAATGCTGGATTGGATGAAACACAAGCTGGAATCAACATTGGAGGGAGATATCAATAACCTCAGATATGCAGATGACACCACCCTTATGGCAGAAAGCGAAGAAGAATTAAAGGGCCTTTTGATGAAAGAGAAGAGTGAGAAAGCTGGCTTAAAACTCAGTATTCAGAAAATGAAGATCATGGCATCTGGTCCCATCACTTCATGGCAAATCGATGGGGAAACAATGGAAACAGTGACAGACTTTATTTTCTTAAGTTCCAAAATCATTGCGGATGGTGACTGCAGCCATGAAATTCAAAGACGTTTGCTCCTTGGAAGAAAAGCCATGACCAACCTAGACAACATATTACAAAGCAGATACATTAAATTACTGACCCAAGTCCATATAGTCAAAGCTATGATTTTTCCTGTAGTCATGTATGGATGTGAGAGTTAGAGTATAAAGAAAGCAGAGCACTGAAGAATTGATGCTTTTGAACTATGGTGTTGGAGAAGACTCTTGAGAGTCCCTTGGACAGCAAGGAGATCCAACCAGTCCATCCTAAAGGAAATCAGTCCTGAATATTCATTGGAAAGACTGATGCTGAGATTGAACCTCCAATACTTTGGCCACCTGATATGAAGAACTGACTCAGTGGAAAAGACCCTGATGCTGGGAAAGATTGAAGGCAGAAGGAGAAGGGAAATATAGAGGATGAGATGGTTGGATGGCATCACTGACTTGATGGACATGAGTTGGAGCAAGCTCCGGGAGTTGGTGATGGACAGGGAAGCCTGGGGTGCTACAGTCCATGGGGTCGCAAAGAGTCTGACATGACTGAGTGCTGAACTGAACTGAGGCCTTCCTAAAATCAGCTCTTTTGACACTGGGTTCTTTGACACGCTCCTGGAAAACAGTTTTCTAGGCTGTTATCAAAATATACCAGGACTTCCCATGTAGTCCAGGGTTAAGACTCCACACTTCTGCTGTAGGGGGCACAGGTTTGATCCATGGTCAGGGAAATAAGACCCCACATGCTGAACGGTGCAGCCCCACCAAAAAAGTACCTATGGTTTAATGAATTCTCACACATCCAGAAGCAACCCCCCCGTCCCAGCCCTGCCACAGTCTCCATCTGATAGATCTTGCAGTCACTAGACCCCTTATCTTACTTCTAAACCTTACATTAGTTTTAGACAGACACTTATTTATCTACTATTTGTTTTTATTTGTTTATTTGGCTACACTGGGCCTTAGTTGCAACAAGAGAACTCTTGGTTGCAACTTGGGGAATCTAGTTCCTCCTCCGGGCCGGAAACCCAGCCTCCTGGATTGGGAGTGTGAGGCCTTAGCCACTGGAACACCGGGGAAGTCCCTAGGCAGGCATTTAAAAATAAAACTTAAAAAAAAAAAAGTGATCAGTGATATTATAAAAATTTAGATGGTTGTTGTCAAATGCAAGTTTGTATGCCTGAGGCACAATGAGGCCAAGCAAACCAAAGTGTCAGAGTTTGGAGCAGAAAAGGTTTATTGCAGGGCCAAGCAAGGAGAATGGGTAGGTTGCGCTAAAAAAACCAAACTCCACCAACAGCTTGCAGCAAAAAGTTTTGTAGGCAAAACCTGGGTTGAGAGCTGCAGGGTTTATGGCTTTCCTCTGATAGGCTGGTGGTGAGGTAACCAGAATCTTGTGCTTAGTCTGAAGTTACCATCCTCCATTTGGGTAGGGGCCTGAGTTCCTGCAGAAGAACTCAGAGATACCTATATTCGTTGAGCAGGAACCAGGACCCTGCCCTGCTGTTTCTCAACTGCTCCATCTTCCCTCTTTACTGTTTGAATCTGCCCTTTGAACTTAAGGAAGATCTAGGAGTCTGAAGCTTTTTCCTACAGGCAAGAAATGGGACAGGATGGAGAGGGAGGGGGATGAAGGGGAGGGGTCAGAAAGTTTTGTATCCAGAAAAGCACCATAGACAGAGCCCTCCTGGGTCTCACAGTTAAGAGCAATAGGAAGGAAAGGAAAATCTGTCTTCTGTCCCACTCCCTGAAGGTAACCACTAAAAACTGGAAGTTTATCCTTCCAAATTTTACTCTATATATATTCAGAAATAAGTATCTGTGAATATATTTTTATAAAACATGGAGCTCTGTTGTATAAAACTGTTTGCAGTCTGCTTCTTTTATTTAAGAAGATGTTGAGGATGTTTCTCCATGTCAACACGTTGTAGGGACTCAGCTTTTAACAGTTGTTTAGTGTGACATTGTATTTCTATACCACCGTTTACTTAGCAGTTTTCTTAACTGAAGGGTGTTTATTTCTAGACATTCACTATTATAAACAGTGCTGCATTGAGCATCTTTGTGTATTTGTAGAGTGAATACCTGGAAGTGGGGTTGTTTGGTCAAGACATTGTACATAGACAGGTATTGGTGATTACTTCCCAGGAGGTCTGACCAGTTTACACTCAGACTCAACAGGTGTTGTCCTTGAGTAGTTTAAAACTTGCACTAGCTGAGATTTTTGCATTTATTTGGGAATTATTTTTTAAATAAAAAACTAATTTTTAAAACAGTAAATTGTAGGGCAGAAATAATTAATATATATGGAAACTTCTGTTAAGGAAGCTTTTTAAATGTATTAATCCTGGCTTTTCGATTTCTAAGCCTATGAAAACCTTCATTGCCTGATAATTACCTATGAATTCTTATCAGTGTCATTTTCTCATTGTTAAATGTTACTACATTCTAGCTGGATTATAAACTTCTTGAAGGCATCTCCCTTGTATTTATAATCTCTTTGTGTCTCTAGCGCCTGGCATAAGTTCTTAAATATGTGAGATTTGGGGTATATCGCTGTCGTGGGAGGCAGATCTAATTCTTTTTTTAAGACGAGTGTTATTTGTTTTTCTTGCTTTCTGGCTGTGCTGGGTCTTCATTGTTGCATGCAGGCTTTGTCTAGTGGCAGCCTGTGGACTCTAGAGCACTGGCTCAGTAATTTTGGTACACGGGCTTAGTTGACGGGCTTAGTTGCCCCGTGGCATGTGGATTCTTCCTGGACCAGAGATCAAACCCGTGTGTCCCCTGCGTTGGTAGGCAGGGAAGTCCCAGATCTGATATTTTTAAGAGGGCACTTTATTCTCAGCCTGAATGTCCTGTAATCCTTATATAAGGATTTCCACAGCAAAGGGAGACATTTCTTAAGTTTTTGAAAGACTGCTTCATTCCTCATTTATAGCGTTAGTTAGCAAACTTCGCTGCTGGTTCAGTGGTTCACACATGCTGCATGGCCAAAAAATAAAAATAAATACAAAAAATACCAATTATTCATTATAGCTGAGAAAGGTCTGACTTTGGCAACTTCAGTAGAAAGAAGACAATCAAGAGGAAGACTCGAGACACATTCCTTGGACCGCTGTTACTTGTAAAGAACTATCAAACTTGTGTATTTGCAGATCAGGGAGCAGAGAAACATGAAGGGACAGGTCCATCCTCTGGGATCACTGATCAGGAGAAGGAGTTGTCCACCAATGCTTTCCAAGCTTTCACAGTAAGAAATGGTTTCTCCTCATCTGTTCCATTTTTAGAATCTGTCAAGCATGAATATTTTCACTGTGAATTTATGATCTTTGTTCTGTACTAATTTAAGAGTTAGCTTCAGAGAGTAGGTTTAGGTTTAAATTTCTTTAATTTTAGAGTTTAAATATCGTGAAAGGAATGGGAATAATTTGAGCCATTACCAAGTTTTTGTGTTTCCAAAATCATCACAATTTTTTAATTGATGTGACTATTACTTCATCTAGTGATTTTAGTATATTTAGGGAAATTATATCTTTGTAAAACTTTTAAATAAAGATAAATGAAATATATTTGGGAATGACTGTAAAGTTCTTAAAGTTGGTATGTGATTTTGTTTGTGTATTTTTGTTTTAGGCTGGAAATTACGATGTCTGTCTGCAGCATCTTGCCTGCCTACAAGATATAAACAAAGATGATTATAAAATAATTTTGAATACAGCAGTAGCTGAGTTTTTTAAAAGTAACCAGACAACAACAGATAGTTTGAGACAAACACTTAACCAGCTGAAGAATCAGGTAATACATACATGAATTTCATTATAAAATATTGTGGTGCTCTCTAAATTATGAAATAAAATTAGTTAAGTAAAATTAATGTGACTTTTTATTTGATATTAATAGCACAATTTCTAATATATTTGCAGCATTTGTATTAGTTTTATTTGTATACAATTCATTTTCTAGGAAGTGAAGGTATGGTATGTAATTTTACTTTCTGTTGGGTTTCAAACTTGAACAGAATAAGCAAATATACAAAATCTGACTGAGCTTTGGAGTTTTGAGAAAGAATTAAAATGGAAATATATGAAAAATATTTCTCAGCATCTCTTATCATTCTTCTTTGAAGCTGGTGACTGTAAGCTAGTTAACAAAAGGCTAATTGTATTCTATAGGATCTACTCTATGATTACCTACAAGAATGTAGGTAAGACGTGTTGCTGAGTTATAATCTCACTTACAACTGAAAGATCTGATTATTAATAATAATGTCAAATTGTTTTAGCATTTTGGGTCAGGAAATGATTAATTGTTCAGACAGAAGCTGTAATTTATATATGGTTTGGGACTTGCCCTGGTCATTGGTCTGGTCATGATGGCATCACACGGTTAGACTTTTGATATTGAAGAGGGCTGGTGGCAGACCTTCAGTGCTTACCGCACAGTGAGACCTTATGTAACTAAGAACCCCTGTCAGACAGCTCACTTATTCTTCCCACTAGCCCGATGAAGTAGCTAGTACATTTTTTTTCTCCTTTTGTACTTGAAGGCTAAGATCCAGGTGACTTGTGTATTGTCCAAAGACACAAAGCTTTACGTAATAAGAGCCACATGAACCCAGTTCTGTTTGGCTTTTGAGCCCCATGCTAAATTCACGAGTACCACCATGCTGTAGTGTGTGCGGGCCCACTCAGTCATGTCCCACTCTTTGAGACCCCACGGACTGTAGCCCAGCAGGCTGCTCTGTCCGTGGGATTTTTCCAGGGAAGAATACAGGAACAGGTTGCCGTTTCCCCCTCGAGGGGATCTTCCTGACCCAAGGATCGGCCAGGGATCCAGCTGCTAGAACTCGCACCCCTAGAACCCGTGCTCCACCATGAGAAGCGCCCGCTCTGTGACTGGGCAGTAAGCCCCGCTCTCTGCACCTGGAGAAGGTCTGTGCGCAGCGGTGAAGACCCAGCACAGCCAGAAATTTACAACAAAACCTATAGGTCCTGTTGACAGTGAGGGAGATTTTAGATTAAAAATGTTGGCCTGTGTTCCTGCTTATTCATCAGCTTCTTGCACCTTTACTCTTTATTTTCTTACTGTTAGAACATAATCTCCTTTGATTGTTTTTATAGGTACACTCGGCTGTTGAAGAAATGGATGGGTTGGATGATGTTGAAAACAGCATGTTGTATTACAATCAAGCAGTCATCCTGTATCATCTGCGGCAGTATACAGAGGCCATATCCGTTGGTGAAAAACTTTATCAGTTCATAGAACCTTTCGGTATGTCATCTGTCAAGAAATTTGCCTATCTCCTCATACTTGCAAAGGTCTGTGATACTTGGGTCTAGATAACCTAAATCAGAATCCTTTATGAGTGTTTAAAGAAAGAAAAAGCAGTGTCAGATTATCTTAATGGTTAGAAAAAATAAAAATTCTATCACTTTTAGATGAATCTAGGTTTTTCTTTAACATCCTGCTGTTACCCCACCCCCCAACCCCAGTTTTTGAAGATAACTGTTGAAAGTGCTGTTCCTGATTGGAGGGATTCACTGATTTTTTTTTTTTCTTTGCTCTTTAAATACTGCCTTAGTGTACCTGATCCTTTCTTTCTTGACTGCTGTATTAAGGAAGGAGTGTTTTGGAAGTAAGGAGGACAGGGTAGTATTTTATTTCATATATTGCCTAATTGAAATTCTTGTAGGTGATCATCGAGTAGATCCTATAGGATACAATTAGCCTTTTGTTAACTAGCTTACAGTTACCAACCTCACACAAGAATGCTGAGAAAAGTAAGAACCACTGCTCTGTGGTGGCCTGAATGGGACAGAAATCCAAAAAACAGGTGTATATGTTTAAGTGGAGCTGATTCACTTTACCATACAGCAGAAACTGACATGACGTTGGAAAGCAGCTATACTCCAATAAAAATTAAAAGTAAGTAAGGATACGGAAAGAATAGGGAGTGAATAAAGCACCAGCAAAGCTGGACCTAAGAAATGTGTAGAGAGCGCGCTTGGCTTCCAGCCTGCAAGCAAGCAGATTTGGTCTCCATGGGGTCTTTCTTTTAAATTCAAAACACTAGTGTCTATTCTGGATTTATAAGTCCGTGACTGCTGTTATGGTCACGATAGGACAGATGCTGCTATGGGAAGATGCCAGGTCCCCGTGCTGACGGCTGGCTGGACAGCTCTCACTGTGGCTCCAGGGAGGCCTTTTCCAGGCTCTCTTCTGCCCCTCAACCCCGAGGACACTGTGCCTGGCAGATAAGGCAGGAGTGGTGAAAGACCATGTGGCCAGGGACCAGATATTTGCCCTGTAAAGCTGCGAATCACAGTTCTACTTCTGGGATGGCGTGGATGTGTTTTCTCTCTGAAACTGGTGTTTAGAATTTCTGAGACCGTTGTCATCTGTACTGTGTGTTGTACTATGAGCACACTATAGCAGAAGGGGATGACACAAGATGAGATGGTTGGACGGCATCACCAACTCAATGGACGTGAGTCTGAGCAAGCTCCAGGAAAGAGCGAAGGACAGGAGAGCCTGGCATGCTGCAGTCCATGGGGTCGCAAAGAGTCAAACACAACTTAGCAGCTGAACAACAAACACCAACTCCGTATTCAGATCCATTTTCCTTCTTGGAAAATTTAACTTTATTACTTGACTCTTCATACAACATAAGTTTATTGAGCAGATGCTGTTTTGGAGTCAGAAGATAATAGTGAATGCAATCAAGTCTTCACTTTCATTAAGCTTATCTTCTAATGGCAGAGAGAGCAATATAACAAATATGTACTGTGAGGTAGTTAAATCCTGGGAAGAAAGGCTAAAATGGGGTAAGAGGATTGACTGGGGATGTCATTTTTCGATAAGGTAATTGAGGAAGGCCTGGAATAAGATAGTATTTGGAAAGTGGCTCGAGTGAAGAGGAGAGGTAAGCCTTGCAACTGGCGGGAAAGCATCAGAGCCAGAGGTTGTAGTTTATGCAGAGGCCCCGAGATGATGGTGGTTCCGGGGAATGAGAAGACAGTGTCGCGGGGGCCCGGGGGAGCAGCACAGATCCGGCACTGTGGCCTGGGTGAGGACTGGCGGGTTCTCAGCTGAGGTGGGTAGCCCTTCTAGATGTGTGACCTTGGCACGTCAATGCATCGCTTAGTCTTAAGTGGATTCCACCATGGCCGCTATGTAAGCGCATGTCTGGCATCAGGAAGGCTTGTCAGGCCCGGGATCGCACCCAGGCCCCTTCACTGGAAGCATGGCGTCCTAGCCCCTGACCACCAGGGTCTTCCCCTGAAATGTTCAGTTCTTGACTATAGCAGCCTTTTTTTTTTTTGGCCTTTAATAAATTTTTGTTGGGAGTACAACTAGTTGCTTTTCAATGTCGTGTTAGTTTCTGCGGTACAGCAGAGTGGATCAGCTGTACATGCATCCCCTCGTTTTCGCATTGCTCCCCATCTAGGTCCCCACAGAGCACTGATAGCGTTCCCTGGGCTGCACACTGGCTTCTCATGGTTCTCTGTTTTACGCATAGTACTGTATACGTGTCAGTCCCAGGCTCCCAGCTCATTCCATCCTGCGGTTTTCCCCTTGGCGTCCATATATTTGTTCCCTGTGCCCATGTCTCTCTCTGGCCGCCTTCATTTAGACTGCTGCCGTTTATCTTCTCTTTGGAAAGGAAAGGAGAATGGTGTCATGTCATATACCAGCTTATCCCTCCTTTCTCCACTGGTTCTTCTTCCTTGGAATTTTTGTCCTTACATTTTCCTCTTGGCCGTTTCAACTTCTGGCATCCTCCAGTCTACACCTTGTTCCTTTTGTGTCTCTCATCACCTTGTTTATTTCCTCTATCTCAGTGCCTAGAAAGGAAGTCTATTTTCCTAGAGTCACAGACCTTTTTAGGGTTAGAAGGAACAAGAGATCACCTAGTCCACCCCCTGCCATCAGGCATGTGAAGTATTCTCTCCTCTTTTCAGGTCAATCAGCTGAGTTTAAATAGTTCCGTGATGTGCAGGGGCTGTGCATCAGTTAAGTAACCAGGCTCTGGAATTAGGGTTTCCTTCTACCTAACATAATACTCCTCATTATAAGTGCTGATATTTGGTAGATACTTTGCCAAATGAATTTCAGGCACTAGAATCCCTGATATGTGAGGCCTTGAGAAGCCTAATGGGATGACATAGTTGATACTGCACTTGGCTTCCACACATGACTTTAGGGAATGAACACTCCTTTAAGTAAAAGACTCAGGCTTGCTTTTTAGAGCTTTCTTTTGGGGGGAATGGTCTGAAATATTATCTTGGATTGTGACTTTTCTTGTTTTTTTTTCTTTTTTTACCCCCAGAAGAAAAATTTGCCCAAGCAGTGTGTTTTTTGCTCGTAGACCTGTATATATTAACCTACCAAGCTGAGAAAGCTTTACATCTTCTTGCTGTTCTGGAAAAAATGATTTCACAGGGAAACAATAACAAAAATGGAAAGAATGAGGTGAGTGTTCTGAGGTGATCAGACTAAAATGTAAAGTATGTTTAGTATTTGTGGTTACTAAGTATTATTTTAATAGGTTTATTGAAATATAATTCACATACACAGAATTTATCATTTTAAAGAGTACAGTTCAGTGGGTTTTAGTATACTCACATAATTGTGCAACCATTACCACTATCTGAATTCCAGAACATTGTCATCACTCCAGAAAGAAACCCTGTACCTGTTAGCAGTCATTCCAATTCCCTCCGTCCCTCAGCCTCTGGTAACCACTGGTCTGCTTTCTTTTTTTTTAATGACAGCCTTGCCATTATTTTTTGTTTTTTGGCTGCACTGGCTCTTAGTTGCTGTTGTACAGGCTTCCTCTCGTTTCAGTGGTTGGACTTCTCACTGGTGGCTTTTCTTGTTGCAGAGCGCAGGCTTTAGTATTTGTGGGGCATGGGTTTAGTCTTCCCACAGCATGTGGGATCTTCCCAGACTCTGGATTGAACTGGTATCCCTTGCATTGCAAGGCAAATTCTTAACCCACCAGGAAGTCCCAAAGAAAGTTTTTTTTTTTTCTTTTTTTTTTTTTACAAAAGATTTCTTTGTTATTTTTAGACTGTGGTGCGCCTCCATTGCTGCGTGCAGGCTTTGTGTAGTTGTGGGGAGTTGGCTTCAGTAGTTGCAGCATACAGGCTCAGTAGTTGGAGTGGGCAGGCTTAGTTGCTCCAAGGCATGTGGGATCTTCCCAGACCAGGGATCAGACTGGTGTCCCTTGCATTGCAAGGCAGATTCTTCACCACTGGACCGCCCACAGAGGGAAGCCCACAGAGAAAGTTTTTAAAGAGGGAATGACATGATCTGTTCTGTGTTTTAGGAACATAATCAGTTTTGCCCAAGTAATATCCATGCTTTTTAAACCTAGTCCATCATTATACTCAACTGTGAGCTTCTTAAGAGTTTCCTGTCATGCACCCAAATGGGACCTAGGATTCAGAATCTTGAAAATGTTCTCTAGGTGATTCAGATTAGCTCACTTGTAAGTCAGTGATTTCAGTTATGGTCAAAAATATTTAATCTTGGTTAACTTTGTTTTACCACCCCACAGACCGGTAATAATACCAACAAAGACGGATCTAATCATAAAGCTGAAGGTGGAGCGCTAATAGAAGCTGCAAAGTCAAAAATACATCAGGTAGCGTAAAGTTTCAGAGAAGTTACACGTGACATGTATTTACTTGTAGTTATGAATGCTGAAGGATGTGATCACTGAAAACAGTAAGTAATTAAAGACATGTATGTTTATTTGTTTTGAAGTATTAAAGTTTAGAAGCACACTTATCTAAGTCTGTTTTGCTTAAGGTGATAATGTAATATTATTTCTTTTAATTCTCTATAGAAAATTGAGAGAAATGGCCCAGGAACGTATTGGATGATAAAAATCAGTTTGTAGAATTTGAAAATTCATCGTTAGTTAGCCATATACAGTTAAGGATTGGTAGGATTTTTGCTTGGAACTTAGATATAAATTTCATTCAACCATATTTTAGTTTTTAAAAGTGTATTCCAAGAGAGAAATTTTTTTTAAAAAAAGGTATATTCCAAGAGTACAGTAAAAATAGATTAAGATAATTAAAAAAAGGTTTTTTTAAACCCACTTTCACAAGTACCTGGTATAACTGTGTTGTGAATAGATTGGGTTTAATTTTCTTAACTAGAAAGTAAAACTTCCATGTCAATGTATGGCAAAAACTACTACAGTATTGTAAAGTAATTAGCCTTCAACTAATAAAAATAAATGCAAAAAAAAAAAGAAAGTTAAACTTCTTCAGCATGTGTAAATTCACCACAGTTCCTACATACTAGTGTTTTTCCTTTGACAGTATAAAGTAAGAGCATATATCCAAATGAAGTCCCTAAAGGCATGCAAAAGGGAAATCAAGTCCGTCATGAATACAGCTGGGAATGTAAGTTTCTTGACTTTTTTTTTTTTCAATTAGTAGCTTTTATGCCCCAAATTTTCTTATTTGCACCATAGTTATCTGTCAGTTTTAAGTAACTTAAGTTCATTGTAGTGTATGTATATTGCCAGATAAAAGCCTTTATATTGAATTGTGAACTACTGATCATTCGGTGTGTATAATTTATTACAGTGTTTTTCTCACTTAAATCTGTAACAAGCATTTCCCCCTTAGTATACTGCTGTCCAGAATTCTGTGAACGATTTATCACAATTAACTTAAACATTTACTGTTATTAGATACTGTAGTATTTTTTTTAGACTATACTCAACACATTTATTAAAGGTAAATAATTTGGTTGTTGCCCAAACCTGCCCCTTCCAAATGATCTTTGGCTTGACAGTACCTTCAGTTTGATTGGTGCTGGAGTATTTGAGTTAAAAATACCCCTTCCTTTCCCTCCACCCCAACCCTGCACTGGTAAGTAGCCTTAAGACAGTAAAGAAACAGATACTTTTAGGAAAACTGTGAATTAAAAGTGTGAAGTCATAAAGAGGTACAGTTTATAGTAGGAAAAGTTCAGGAAAGTTGACTCTAGAAATCTCAGGCAGGATCCAAATTAGCCACTGGGTCAGTTTCAAGGGATTTCAGAGAACATTGTAGCCCAGACCTGAGGGGTAGACTTGAGGCTATTATCAAGTCTTTTTGGGGAGAAAAGACATGAATCCCTTTCTTTAAGGATGCCATCATCAGAGGGGAGAGATGAACAGGAAAGTAAATCATTGTTAGTCATACCCACATCAGGGAAAACTTCAGGAGCAAATTTCAGGAGAAGCGAAAGCTGGTCTGTGATCCAAAACACGATTATTATATTGTTGAAATAATCGCCGTTGAAAACAGGCATTCTGTTAGGAAATTTTTCCATCCATAAAATGACACCTTTTCCCCCCTACTTGGAAAAGCATTTAATTATTTGTACTTTGGGTTCCAATGAAGGTGTATTTGTGTCCTAGAAGATAAGGGAGATCACCAGTCTATAATAATCATTAAGATGAAGGAGCTAGTTCTGTTAAATTGGCTTTCATTTAATAGTATGATAGATGAAGACAGTCAGTGCTGTCTGCAAAGGATACGTTGCAGACTATATTCTTTTTCATACATGTTGTATGTATTTTTTTAGGTAGACATTTAATGATTCAGTTTGTAAAGTGCTGCCTGCCAGGTCTCATTGCTTCCGATTGTGAAAGCAACAGGAAAGTCAGAGACCGTAGTTTTCACCACCTTGACTTAACGTGGTTCGGTTATGCCCTTGACCACGTGCCAGTGCAGTGGTGTGATTATGATCTCGCATTAGGCATCTGAGAACAAACTGTAAGCAACTTGTGTTTTCTTTACAGTCTGCACCTTCCCTGTTTCTTAAGAGCAATTTTGAGTACTTAAGAGGCAATTATCGAAAAGCTGTGAAACTGTTGAATAGTTCAAACATTGCTGAGCATCCAGGATTCATGAAAACAGGTAAAAGAAAATTGTGAAGTTTTGGTGTTTTCTTCCTGACTCTTCTACGCCTTGTTGCTTTTTGTTTTTCCTAGGCTGCTATTCAGAGTGATTTTTGCTAATTTTTTGAATGAAAATATTTTTTATTTCTGCTGCAGAAAATTCCTAGAATTTTCTTCTTCTTTTTTTTTTTTAGAATTTTCTTTTATTACTTGTTTCCATTTTAAGAGATGCCTCACTTCTTCTCCTACATGTCTTTTACCTCAGATACTCTTTCAGTCATTTTGGTTTTAATACCAGTTTAGAGATTGTGTCCAAGGCATAAGGACTTTGGGCTTTTGCTTTGGGAAATGAGAGACCTTTTAAGGAAATGAGATGACAGTGATTTTACTTTTTCCCTTCTCTCCCATAAAAGCAGTGATATTATGAAATATTTTTTAGACCATTATATTGAAAATATTTTTATAAATTAGGAATTTACTTACTGCTATCTATTCTTTCCTCTATTTAGAAAGCCTTAACAAATTGCTTGATATTAATAGTAGAATGAAAGGTAAAATTTGCAGCTCTCATTTAAGTTCATGTCATTGCTGTTTTATGGAGGAGGAGGAAGAAAATCGGTTTATTCAAGAAATGAGGTTAAACTAGTGAAGATATTTTGGACTAAGTTCAGAATGCAAAAGATGAGTAAATATTTGTTTCATCTGAGATTCTGTTTAGACCAGTGCACAGAACACACATGTAAACACACTCAGACCTTCACCATTCACCCCTTCGGTCCAGTGGAATCATCAAGGACAGAAAAAGGCAGTGTTTTCCATTATGATTCTCTCAAGGACTCTCCTTATTCTGAGTACCATGTCTAATTCTGCTAAATTTTTATTTTTCATGTTTTTATTGTCTTAATTTCCCCTCAGAGACCCTCTAACACCCAAACTGAAATGGTCTCTCAGACTGAAAAGATAATATACATTGCAGAAATTTTACTTAGGATTGTCTTGACGCTGATTTCAGAATTGAAATGGTCAGTCTTTAAAAGGAGCCAGACATGTATTTGACTAGTCAACACTTATAAATCTAATAGGAAGGATTTTATATATAGTTGTATACTTTATGTATTGATATTTTTCATCATATTTATTTTAAAATCTTTCATTTGCTTGCCATGTATAAAATTCAGTGTTTGCTGCTGATAAAGTAGGCCTGTTAGAGAAGATTTGGGAATAGTTTTTCTTAAATTGTTCATAATGCCACCCACAAGAAACAACCTCCTTTAAAACATATTTCTTACTCTTTTTTTTCTTCAGCCTAGATTTTTTTCTTTTTTAAATATTATCACTGCTTAACTTTAAGATAAGATTAAATTTAAATTAAAAATAAGTTAAATTTAAAGGAAAATGAAGCCAGCCTTTCATTTTTAGCATTAAGCATTGAATGAATATTCTGATTATTAATTTTATCAATCTAGTTTGGTGTTTTATATCATTGAGGAAAAGACAGACTGTCAGCAAATCGTTTAGGAATGTTTGGGAAACCATTTAGAAAAAGAAAACTAAAAAAAAAAAAAGAAAGAAAACTAAAGCTTGGATTGCTTTCATTACACCAAAATAAAATCCAGACACATGCAGGATTAAAAAGTAAAAATAAAATCATAAAGACAACAAAAGAAAACTTGGATGACTATCTTATTTTTGTGGTGAAGAAGCCTTGATTAAACATTATCCAAAATCTCAGAACCATACAGTTTAGAAAAGATGACTAAGTTTGACCACATAAAAATGTAAAACTTTTTATGATTAAAAACATAAGCATACACATACACACACTCTAACCAAGTCACAAGACAGATGACAAGCTGGCAGTGGGGGGGAATAATTGAAACACATGGGACAGAAGGTTTCTATAATGTACACACTAGCAGGTAACCAATAGGAAAACATCTGTAACCAGATCTTTTACATGGGTTAAGAACTAGGAAGAGGCAAGTGTACAGGATAAGAAATACAAATGCCCAACTCACACAGGAAGATAGATGCTCAGCCATCATCATAGTTAAAGGAGTGTGAATGGAAAGAAGAGTGGAGACAGAATTGAACAAAACAAAGCAGGATTTTACACGTTCTATTTGCATGTTCTTTAATATACTTCTATCGCTTCTGTAACTTGCTTCTTTCCTCCCAGAACTGTTGTGTGGATGCAATTCGTACTTACTATGTTACTAATAAATACTTCTTGTCTTCTGCATTTTTGTATCATTTGCCTGTGGTTATTAAAAATGAAATCAGAAAAAGATAAACAAGCTAACAAAATCAGTATGCTGAAAAAAAAATCAATATGCTGGATTTATTTATCACCTTTAATAAGAGATTCTAAGAGAAAGGAGTTTACAGAATTTTCAGATGTTTTCCTAAATTTTGAATGCCTTGTAGTGTCTGAGTGGCATTGAATATAGAATTAACTCAAGACCCAAAAGCCTGATTCTTGTAGGATGTGTGTCAACAGTAAAATTAGTTTGTGGACAGATTTGTTGTTTTTCTCAGGTGAATGCTTGCGGTGCATGTTCTGGAATAATCTTGGTTGTATCCATTTTGCCATGAGCAAGCACAATTTGGGAATTTTCTACTTTAAGAAGGCTCTGCAGGAGAATGACAACGTCTGTGCCCAGCTCAGCGCAGGCAGCACCGATCCAGGTAAGCCCACGGATGGCGGCAGTGTCTGATCCACTGCTCGAGGAAAGCATGATTTCAGGGAGCAAGTACCTGGTTAAAATGCATGTCATGTGTCCTTACATACACATGATCCTACCCCAGAAATTGACTCTGGATTTTTAGTAGATATTGCTACTTTGTGTAGCAAGGTGTTAGGAATAATAATCAAAGAAGTTTAAATTACATTCACTTTTTCATGGATTTGAAAAATCAGTAATCTCATGTGGTAATGTTATAAAGCAAAGTATTTTCCTAAGATTTCTTAACTCTGCCAAACTAGTTTGTTTTTTTGGTTTTTGTTTTTTTTTTTTAATTCATTTTGGCTGCACCAAGTCTGACTTGCAGCACTCAGGATCTTCTTCATTGCCGCATGAGGTATCTTTTTAGTTGAGGCATGCAGGATCTAGTTCCCTGACCAGGGATCAAACCCAGACCCTCCTACCTTGGGAGCGTGAGGTCTTAGCCACAAGACCACCAGGGAAGTCCCTAAACTAGTTTTATTCTAGCCTTTTTTTTTTTCTTCAGGGGGTTTCATATGTGAGACAGTTGGCAGCACCTGACAATCTTTAAGCAAATTTATGAACTTTATCCCTTTATATTCTTGGTATGTGGATCCTTGATCTGAAGTCCTTAAAATCAGGCAATTGTGTAGTTTAAAGACTATTTAATTGATGAAAAATATATCCAAAAAAATCACACATAGTCTGTCTCTGTCCTTCTTTTTGGCCACACCACACAGCTTGTGGGATCTTATTTCCTCAACCAGGGATCAAACCTGGGCCCCAACAATGAAAGCACCAAGTCCTAACCACTGGACTGCCAGGGAATCCCCTCCTCTCATTTTATTATGGCCTATGAAAGAAAAGAGAAGAGGGAGGCAGAGGGGGAGATAGTTAGATAGCATCACCGCCTCAATAGATAGGAATTTGAACAAACTCCAGGAGATAGTGAAGGCCAGGGAAGCCTAGCATGCTGCAGTCCATGGGGTCACAAAGAAACAGACACAACTTAGTGACTGAACAGCTACAACAATGAAAATTAGAATAAGTGAACGAACACTAGTCATTGTAGGTGTAGTAAATTTTTGTTTCTGTACTAAAGTTCCCTAAAACCCTAACATTAGCTGAATACTTCTGGTTAAGAAAATACATGATGATAAAATGGCTGTAACGTGCTTAGTCACTCAGTCTTGTCCGACTCTCTACAACCCCGTGGACTGTAGCCCACCAGGCTCCTCTATCCGTGGGATTCTCCAGGCAAGAATACCGGCGTAGCTTGCCACACACTCCTCCAGAGGATCTTCCCAAGCCTGGGATCAAACCCAGGTCTCCCGCACCGTAGGGGGAGTCTTTAGCACCTGAGGCACCAGGGAAGCCTCACTGAACTGAAAGTGAAGAGGAGGGGCATCTTCTTAGAGGCCCTGAGAGTGCAGAGAGGTAGTGTAAGGTTCATTGGAGTGAGAAGGGGTCCTACCTCTGTCTTTGCCTTCCTGGAACATCGTTGCCTGAGGAGCTGGCACACGAGAAGGCACATCTCTGGCTTCCTGAGCACAGACAACTGAGATGCCTCTGGAGGATGTGTGTCGGGTCGGGGGTGGAGATCATCATTGTGGTGGGAGGTGTTTACACCTTCAGATTGAGGATTGGGGTCCTCGGTGTCAGACAAGGTACTGGTTGAGTACTTAGTGAAGAAAGGTTTTCGCGGAGCTGCTATTGTAAATCTAATGATTTGTTCTCATCTGCTTTTTATCATCAGGCAAAAAATTTTCAGGAAGACCTATGTGTACATTACTAACCAACAAGAGGTATGAGTTGCTCTATAACTGTGGGATTCAGCTGCTTCACATTGGAAGGCCGCTCGCTGCGTTTGAGTGTCTGATTGAAGCGGTTCAGGTTTATCACGCAAACCCCCGCCTCTGGCTGAGGCTGGCTGAATGCTGCATTGCTGCCAATAAGGGAGTGAGTCTCTCTCTTTTTTGAACCCCCACCCCCACCTGCTGCCCCCTCCCCTTGCTGACTCTCAGGGAGTTTGTAAAGATAGTCTTCTGTTCCTTATCAGTTGGACAAAATTTGGTTTCGTGAAGTCATGTTTTCACTTTCTGGCTCTTGGTAAGAATGACCACATGTGTCAGCAGTCAACATTGAAAAGCTGAAGCCATTCAGAAGGTCGTATCTGTTGCAGCAGCGGTCTGCTAGCTGCCGGGGCCGGGGCCACGCCGTCAGCTGGCGTGAAAGTGCTGTGTGTACCCGGCGATTAAACGAGGACTGCTGATAACACAGCAAGTGTGGAAAGAACCGTGTTAGGCTGTGTTCCCTCCAGTGCCCACAGGTTTACTTCTGATTCGGTAGATGATGTGGAGTTAGTGGATTACCGGGCTTTTTCTCTCTGACACGTGTCCATCCACAGTGGTTATGAGAAATAGACCAGTTTGCACTAGCATCCATGCCTAGATTACCACCAAACAGTGGGTGACGAAAGCCTTTTGAATCTCAGGTTGGGGAGGGGTCAGTGGGCGGTGGGGGAAAGACAGGTCGTATCAGATTCACCAGCTGTCTGTACCACCCCGTCTCCTAGCCACCCCCCACCCTTGCTAGGCTCTAGGGGATATGGCATCCAGAGGTTTTGCCTGGCATGTCTGCCATGGGGAACAGCACTTCCTGAAAAGCAGCTATAGGAACTAAAGGGATTAAAGAGGTGTGTCTGCCTGGCAGTTGTCACACTTGATACAAGCAATTTGATTTGAGTTTGCCACCACTGGGGGAAGAGGTGAACGTTGTCTTTGAAAGACTTTAATGGGTTATTTCATTGTACTTTTCCTTCCTATCAAGAGATAGCTTTCTTAATGGGTAATTCTTAAATTAACTGATAAACAATTCTAGGTATAATTTATTATGTTTTTTTTAAACAAAAGGGATCTCTAGAAGTTGCTTATTCTCTTTAATGAGATGAATTTAATTAGTGTTGGAGGCTCTAGTGAGGTTTAATTATTTTCTTTTAAAATGACTTATTTTTAGAAATGGTGCTTTTAGGATTGTCTGTCTTCTGTGGATTTCATGAGGTTTTTTTTTTTCTCTCCCGTTTTCTTCTAGAAAATTGTAAATTTGTAAATTTTTTAAAAATGGCAAAAATGATTTGGTTGTAAAAACCTGGTAGATACCAGAACACTCACAATCCTGTGCTAACAGGAAATTTGCCATAAATAATTATATATCTTTGCACTTCTCCTCCTCCTAGAACCTGAGGTAAAATCATCCCCAAAATACTCTTGAGTAACATGAGAGAGGAGAATCCCAGCAGGAGAAATTATAAACTCCAAGTAAAATTATGTAACATTTCTTTTAATTTACTCAGGACAGAAGGGATGCTGGACAAAGTTTTACTTTCCAAAAATAAACTCATTTATCAATAAGCAGTAACTTGGTGATACCAAGGAGGTAATTTTGTCCTCATTACCTAATGCATGTTGTTTCAGACCTCTTTTGGCAGATGCAGGGTTTTTGTTTACCTGAGCAATCTATAGTATATATAAGAAAAGATTTACTCAATAAAAAATATAGACTCAATTAGAGAATTTAAGAGAAGACTACTTAAAAAAAATCAACCACATACCATTTACTTTTCTGGATATGTGCCATTTATTTTTCTGAGTTCTGAAAATTACCTCTTGAATGTTGTTACTGCCAAGCCACTATAAAACTATGAATATTTTAATCACGTAATATTTTACATTAAGACTGTTCTGGCACGCTCTCTGGCTGTTGGTGTCCTATTGAATCTGTGGTCTGTTTTGTGGCTTTTTGGTCCCATCCAGATCTAGCCATCTGATCAGCTCCTACAGCCTTAAGGATCAGGGAAGAGAGTATGAACAAACTGTTGAAAGGCCTTCTCTTCTGACCTCCTTCTAATAGTGGTTCAGAACATCTACCCTTTCTTTATTTTCCACTAGTGTTCCTTAGCTGCCTCCTCAATAAAAAAAATTAGTTCCAGTCACTTTTGTTGTATTTTTTTATACGTCATATAATTCTTTCTAAAATGAAGATACATGTAAATCCTTGCTTTGTTAAAAGTCACACGTATATGGCGGTAGAACCATGAGAAAGTTGTATTAGGGAGCAAGAAGTCACAGCACAGAAATGTGTTGCAAGGTGGACTTTTTGCAGGGCAGAGTTATCTCTGCAAGTCCATATGAGCTGTCTCCAGTTTGTCCCTGTGTATGAGAATCTGCCGGACTTCATGAAATGCAGGTAAATCAGAGACTTAGCATGAAGGAGAGGACGATAAAGGAAGTTGGCACCACCAGGCTCCTACAGTGAGATTATGTACTGTAGTGGAATATCCTAAAATATTTGTATATGTGCCAGTAGCTTTTACTATTTTCAGTTTAATGTTTACAAGGCTGTAGGATTTTAATTTCCTGGGAGGTGAGGGTCATGCCTACGATAAATTTTGACATATGTAGCTTGTTTGTGTATGTGTTTTTGACACTGTAATTAATACTTTCAGTTAAGAAGGGAGAGATCTGTGTTTTAGGAAATGAACTACTTCCCTTCTCTCATTCACTCTGTTTCTGTGGCTCTTACTTTCTTTAAGAAAGAAAATGCCCAAAGTGCCCGGCATATCCAGCATGGTGCCTAGGGCACAGACTGGTCCAAATAAATCATTCTGAATAAACACTTGAGTCATTTTTTTTTAATACATTCTTTTTTTATATTCTTTTCCATTATAGTGTTTCATGGGATATTGAATATAGTTCTCTCCTGTACACTAGCACACTGTTGTTCCTTGAGTCGCTCTTGAATTGCTCTTTTGCCTCAGATTTATCTCAGAGCTTCTGCTAATAAAGGGTAGTGTGTGTCACTGACTTTTAGCCTCATGTCCTCTCCTCTTCATTACCAAACATTTATCACCCAAAACACCACATTGATGGGTTTTAAGAAGGTTCTTAGAGTAATTGTGAAAGGTCCTGGGTTATTTTTCATACCTCACCTTACAATTCCATTAAATTAATTAGAAATGATTTGTGTTTTGTAGACTTCTGAACAAGAAACCAAAGGTCTTCCAAGTAAAAAAGGAATTGTACAGTCTATTGTTGGTCAAGGCTATCATCGTAAAATAGTTCTGGCATCACAGTCGATCCAGAATACTGTTTATAAGTAAGTATTTTGCAAAGAGAAAGCGTATGTATTTAATACTATTTCATAATAGTGTTATTTATTTAAAAATATGGTTGGAAATCACCTCACAGGAGGAGCCACTTTGTAACTAGATTTTATTGCTGCTGCAACAAATAGACTGCTATGCATCGGTCTGCAGCGAATGTTCTTTCATACATGATTTTGGTTTGTTACATCCATGGGTATTGAAGTTGTCCTACGAAACCCTGGTCTATTCAGTGCCATTATCCAGAATGTCCAGAAGAGGGCATCTTGTTGTTTCCTTTTTATATAGTTGATCACTGATGCTTTTCACTTAGTTATTATTTTCTCACAGTCCCAAAAGCTAATTCCTTAGTACTAGGAGAAAAAAAGTACTATTATATATATCAACAAAGGTAATATAAAGCTGTCTCATGTAGAAGAGCTTTTCAGTTGAAGAACTTTTAAATATGAACATCTTTATCTCTTACAAAGATTCCAATTTGGAGTTGCTACTATTTCTAAAGTAGTAGGCTTTGTAAAAAAATTTCTGCTTTTGTCCAAAGTAAAATTGTTCACTGCCATTTAAAATTTTTGTCAAAGTTTCAAAAACATATCTGGCACACAATATTTTGCTCTTTATTTCAACAGTAATACAGATTTCTTTCAAAGACAAGTTAAAACATCACTTCCCTACCATTTTAAAATTGTTACACCTTTTCACTTTTTTCTCCCTAATAAAGCTGATTCAGCTTGATATATAAAACCAACAGAAAATTATATAAAATCTCAACAAAGTTACAAGACCGATAACATTACTTTTTCAAAAGGTAACTGTAAATAAGATATTTTCAAAAGCAAACATCAACCAAAACAAAGCTCAGATGTGAAAATCTACTTTTTCCCTTCTTTCCAGTTCTGATTGTTTCTGTCCTGGCCTTCACTGTGGTTTTTATTGTCTGGTTTTTATTTTTTTATTCCTTTGTCAGATTAACACTGACATTGCAAGTATCCATCAAGTTGTCCCTGAAGTTCCATTCCAGTAGAAACAACATGGTGTATAATGCATATACTTGCCATCTGTTGCTTATACTTTTTACATCTTATATACAGACATACCTCCCTTTATTGCACTTTGATATTGCTGAGTTGCACTTTGCAGATGTTGCTTTTTTTCCCCCACAAATTGAAGGTTTGTGACAGTCCTGAGTGGAGCAAGTCTAAGTCTGTTGGTGCCATTTTTCCAATAATAGTTATTCACTTTATAATCTGTGTGTCACATTTTGATAATTCTTGGCACTTTCTCAAACTTTTTCGTCATTATTTGTTATGGTGATCAGTGATCATCGATGGTACTGTTGCAAGAAGATTTTGACTTGCTAAAGGGTAGTGATAGTTAACACTTAACAGTTAATATTAAGACAAGTACATTGGCTTTTTTTTTTTAGAGATGATGCTGTTGCAAACTTAATAGACCACAGCATAGTGTAGGCATTCCTTATATATCCAGTGGGAAACCAAAAAATTTGTGTGACTTATTTTATTGTGATGCTGTCTTTATTGTGGTCTGGAACCGAACCCATGATGTCCCCAAGGTATGCCTGCGTGATATTTAGGCTTTGGATTCTTTAGCATTCTAACTGCTTGTATTACCATTTCTACCTGTCCAAGGGCAAAGCCTTTATTATTTAGTTACGTTGGTTTTATTCCTGATAATGGGGAAGTCTTATTTATTGTTGTCGTTTTGTTAGCTGACTTAGTTTTCTTTTCAGTGATGGACAGTCCTCAGCCATTCCTGTAGCCAGTATGGAGTTTGCGGCCATTTGTCTCCGAAATGCCTTGCTACTCTTACCTGAAGACCAGCAAGATCCGAAGCAGGAAAATGGATCTAAAAACAGTAATCAGTTAGGGGGCAACACGGAGAGCAGTGAAAGCAGCGACGCTTGCAGGTATTCCGACCACTTTGACCTCCCTCACTCAAGTCTGTGGGTCTTCATTAGTCAGCTTCCATCCAGTAGATAAGTTCCTAAAATCTGCAGCCGGAATTTCCAAAGTTTTCTGTTTTGAGTAATAGGAAGTATGAATGTTAAGTATTTCTGGGAAATTCCCTGGCGGTCTAGTGGATTCCAGCTAGAATCCACTGCCGAGGCCTGGGTTCAGTCCATGGTTGGGGAACTATGATCCCACAAGCCACGCAGCTTGGCCAAATATGTGTGTGTGTGTGTGTGTGTTTTCTTTTTCTACGAGAGAAAAATAAGGTGAAGGCTAAGTGAGGAGAGAATCTTGAAAGAGAAAACTAGAAAGTAACAGCTTTTTGCTGCTATGGCGAAACATTGCAAGAAATCCTGTTGCTGTCAGAGATGGCTTTTTTTAAAAAAAAAAAAACCTTTATTAAAATCAATACTTAAATCCCTAAAACTTCTCTTTTCTTATTATTTTGTGCCTTTTCTCTTAACATACTGTAAACCACTGACCTTCAGGATATTTCTGGATAGTTCTGATTTTCTACATTAAATGAAATATTATGGCAATCTCTAGAAATTGGGGAGCTTCCCAGGTGACTAGGTGGTAAAGAATCAAAACACAGGTTCAATCCCTGAATTGAGAAGATCCCCTGGAGTAGGGAATGGCCACCCACTCCAGTATTCTTGCCTGGGACATTCCATGGCCACAGAAGCATGGCGGGCTAATTCCATGGCATTGCAAAGAGTCAGACACAAGTGGGTGACTAAGCAGTGAGCGCACAGAGATTGGGAGAATTTTATCTCTTGATAAACACTGTTATATGTAAAGAGCTCTTTTTTACATATGGCACCTTTAAACTCGAGTCTTCCATCTCAGCATCTTTTCTAAGATGCTAAAAATACAACGTTTATTATAGAAAATTGGGAACAAAAATTGTGAAATTTTTTTCCCTCCATCAAGGGGTTATGCTTTACTATAGTTGGTAAAAGACAACTAGAAAAATGAGAAATTTGTAAAAATACTGGAATGGTTTCCTTTGTATAGTACAGATGTTGTTTTCTGTTACAGATTTTTTAAAGCGGTAGGGGAAAGAAGCTAATACATGGTATAGCTTTTTTTTTTTTTTAATTTCTTGGCTGCACTGTGGAGCATGTGGGATCCCAGTTCCCCAGCCAGGGATCGAACCTGTGTCCCCTGCATTGGAAACACGGAATCTTAGCCACTGGACCACCAGAAAAGTCCCTCTGCCACAGCTTTAACATGTTAGTGATAGTGCATTACTAAGTATTTTTCAGTTTGATTCTTTTACACTTTTTTCATAAAAAATTGCATGAGAGTAGGGATAGGGAGATGAAACTGTATCAATATAAATATATTGTTTATTTGTGCTCTTCATAATTAGGACTCTATCTTTATTTTAGCAGTAAAAGCCACGATGGAGACAAATGCATTCCAGCTCCTCCTTCTTCCCCATTGAGAAAACAGGAGTTAGAAAACTTAAAGTGAGTATCTAAACAAAATTAGCATCGCATTGGTCCTTCATTTTGTTAATATCATGAATTGCATTAAGTGTCAGATATTAAACCAGCCTTTCAATCTTGTGATTTAACCCTCCCAGGCAGGATGCATTGCCTTTTTAATAAACTGTTGGATTGAATCTTTTTGTGAGGAGTGTTTGCTCCCATGCTCACAAGGAAAGGTGGTCCATGCTTTTCATTCCTATAGATGTCTTGTTTAGGTTTTAGTTTCGGGGTTATACTGAACATATGAATGAGTTGGGAAGTAACTTCCTCTGTTTTGTGAAACAGTTTATCTGATGTAGGTGCTGCTCCTTCCTCAGATGATTGATAGAATTCTCCAGTAAAACCATCTGAGCTAGGGTCTTCTTTGTGGGAAAGTTTCGATAGTGAATTTAAGTTTTTCAGTAGTTAAATGCTATTCAGATTTTCTATTTCATCTCTGTTAGTTTGGGTAAGTTATATTATTGCCTGTGTAGATTTATAAACACCATTATATTTGCTTTGAACAGTCATGTTTATATTGAAAGAAACAGAGCAATCTTTTATGGCTAACTACATGAGTACCATTTCCTGATGATTCTAATTTTTTTATAAAATCATTTCCCTTCGATCTGAAGATCTCCCATCATAGTTTTTCCTAAGGTTTTATGTTGTTTTGTTTGTTTCCTTTTTAAATCTAAAATTCTCTTCATTTCATCTTCATTCTTGGAGGATCTTTTCTTTGAATAAAAGTATTTTAGGTCTTGTTCTTGTTTCCAGTCAGCTTTTTCAAGACATCACTGCATTATCTTCTGGCCTCCGGTGTCTGATCTCAGCCATTGTGTTAGAGGTGCCATTTTTCTGTCAACGTGGATTGTCTGTATTTCGTTCATCAGTTAGACTAGGATGAATCTAAGTGGAGTTTTCTTTGTTTTTAACCTCCCTTGGTGTTAGCTGACTTTCTTAAATCTATAAATTTATCTTTCAACAAACTTGGGATATTTTTGACCATCATCTTTTTGTGTTTTGGATATAGGGTTAACGGTTCAGCGTCTCTTTAAGAATGATTTCAATAATAGGACTGCAAATTAAAATGGAATGAAAGAGCCATCATTGCTAATGTTTTCACCTACTACATTGCAAAAAGTGACAAGAGTACAGTTGAGACATATATTTCAGGTAGCATTGTAAATTTTTGGAAAACATTTCATTTCATCACATTCTTTCCAACAAACATTAGTGCTAATCTGGTGCTAGCTGTAGGGGAATCAGGTAAAAGAAAAGGCACTGCTCTTAGAAGCAGATGGCAAACACTTAGGAGAAAACGGCATTACTTAGGTAGGCCAGTTTACCAGGTGGTGGGATTTGGGGCGTGTCCTTTCTTCTTGTGATAATTTGATTACCCTAATAAGTGGGGAATGACTTTACTTTAAAATTTTACGTTTCTTTCAATCCAAGGTGTTCAATCTGATGCCAAAGTTTATTGATCACCTATGTTACTTTTACTGTGAACCTCCTGTTGGTAGTATTTACTGTTTTATTAAGGAAATTGACCTTTATCGTTTGTCATATAACACTGTTTCTGGTATTTAGTTATAAAACAGTTTCATTTATTAAGTGTTGTATTTACCAATCTTCTTTACTTTTTTTTTCCATTTTGTGCGATGTTCAGAAAGGCCTTCTTGCCTCCAAGATTTAAAGAATAATTTAGCCACATTTTTCTAGCACTTTTTGTTACACTGTCACAACCACCAATCTAAATTTTTGTTTCCTTCCAGTGAGATTTCTCATTACCATCCCAGCATACATATATGGATTTTTACACCACAGCCATAGCGTTCCACACTGCTCTGTACCTTACTTTTCACATTTGACAATGCATCTGTAGAGATTGTTTGTATCAGTACAGAGCTTGGTTTCATTCTTTCTAATGGGTGCATACAATTGCATTATACGGATGCATACAATTGTGTTATATGGATATGACTATTTAACATTGATTTATGTTTAGTTATAATGTTGTCAGTCTTTGCTGTTATAAATAATGTTGCAGTGACTATTGTTGTATACAGTTAAGAGGAATCCTTAATGATGAAGGTATTTGCAGCAATATTTAAGTTGGATTTAATTTTTACAAGTTTATTTGAATGAGTCCTAATCTTGGGATTGCTTTATGTGTGCATGTAATTTAAGACGTTTCTGATCCCACACTGGTTGAACAGCTACAGAGTTGTGTAATTTAAATTTACTTTCTGTAAGTGGCACTAAAAGAGAGACGGGTATGTGGAGGGTGGCATTCATCCCCTCAGAGAGTGTTGTGCCTTTCACAACTGTTTGCTTTCCACACATTCTAACAGGGGGATTGGTGGTTTTCAGAGAGAGAAAAAAAATTACTTCCCTGTTTTTGTGGATAGGGACAGAGGGTCTCCATAGGGAATTCCATCATCATAAAGTGAGGTAAGATGGGTTTGCTGATACATACTAACCTTTTTTTCTTATGGAGCAGATGGGAGAAAGGAAATGGAACAAGATGGAAGGAGCCTTAGGGTAGATTTATAAAAAGAACTGCTGGACAAGGACAGTAGTAACCGTAATGTGAAGACAAATGGTGCGGGGGAAGGAGTCGTAAAAGACTTGTGTCGTAATTTTCAAAGCTATAAAAGCTCCCGGCGTAGTTGGGTGTGTTAGAGGGCAGTTCGGTGGCAGCAGCCAGCTGTCTTCTGCAGAAAGGAGGAGCCTGAGCACATTGGTTCTCTGTTGAGATCCTGGAATTGTCAGAGATTTTTATCTGTTTCTGGCCTGAATTCATTTGTGTGATTGGAAATATGTATAAGGAGTGCATAGTTTAGTTTTTATGGACTGTTATATTTGACCCCTCTGTGCTCTAATACCCAAGACACCAATGCAAAACCTCATTTCCTCTTTGCCAGCATAACTAATATGCAGTAAATTATCATGACTGTTCTAATGACCACTTCTTACTGTATGGATTCAGACAGAGTTTCTTGACTAGTTTCCTTTTTTTTTTTTTTTCGTTTGTACATGAATGAAGATTGGTTCCCCCAAAAAATCATTCTAACCAAGTTACAGATATATTTTCAGAAGGCATAGGATACATGAAGCAATTGTGAGGTTCTGTATTAAAATCAAGGTAGCTTTCAGAAAAAAAAAATTCTCAAAATTAAAACAGAAATTTATCCCCCAAGCAGGAAAAAGTCTAAGAAATTAATAGTTTGATCATGAGGCTGAAACAAATTTAGAGATATTGATACATTGGGTCAAGAAGGCATATATATAATGACACTAAGAATATTCCTTTATTTCCTGAACCACCCGAAGCAAAGCCATTGGTTTCATACGAGTAAGAAGACATATGCACAGACACGCATACTTGGTCTCCCTGCAGTCTTGTTAAAGAAGTACTCTGACTTAACATTATTTAAATGAAAGGTGATTCCATTTCTCAATTTTTGTCTGAGAGAAATGAAAATTTGTCCACATGAGAATTTTAAAGCAGCTTTACTTTTGATAGACAAAAAGTTAGAAATAGCCTTGGCATGTATCAGTGGGAGATTGGCTTAACTAAATTGCTGGCTAGGAATTCCCTAGTGGTCCGGTGGCTGGGACTTCAAGCTTCCATCGCAAGGGGCAAGTGTTTGATCCCTGGTCGGGGAGCTAAGATCCCACATGCCACTCAGTGCAACCGAAAATTTTTTTAACATAAGTAGAGACTTCCCTGGTGGTCCAGTGGCTGAGACTCCACACTCCCAGCGCAAGGGGCCCAAGTTTGATCCCCTGGTCAGGGAACTAGGTCCTGTATGCCGAAACTAAAGATCCCACATGCCCCAGGTAAGATCGAGTGAGGCCAAATTAAATTTTTTTTTTTAAGAAATAAATAAATTACAGGCCACTCTGTATATTGGAATACTACTCAGCTGTAAAAAGGAACAAGCTACTGAGGCACACTAGTCAACATGATGTAAATCTCAAAACATTTTGTTTCTTCTTTTACTCAGTATAAGGTACGTACTGTATGATTCTATTTATACCATTTGTACAATAGGCAGAAGCTATACTAACTTATGTTCATAGAAATCAGAACAGTGTCTAGGGAATTGACTGGAAGGAATCTATCTTTCTGGTATGAAAGAAATATTCTGTATCTTAATTGGACTGGTGGTTACATGTATATGTTCAAACTTACCAAGCTGTACATTTAAGATGATGTATTTTAAGATGATATAAAAATCATACCTAACTTAAAATGTTTTAAGAAATTTTGAAAATTTTCAAAGTTCATATAACTCTAAATATATTCTTTGGGGAAATACAATTAACCATTAATGATTCATAAATGGTCAGTTTCTCTGACATATCACTCATGGGGTGACGTGTGGATAATGGCGTTTTAACAGCAACAAAAAACTCTCCTTGTATTTTACGTGTATTCCTTAGACCCTAAAGCCTCAGTATCTAAAATCACAATCACTCATCACTGGGCCCTGAGCACATGGGACATGGCTTGTGAAAGGTACACAGTTGAGATGTATGATACACACCAATTTCACAACTTCTAAAATTGTAATATATGTCAGTAATGTTTTGTGTTGATTATGTTGAAATGACAGTTTAGATATATTGGGTTAATTTTAAAATAATGAAATTAATTCCACCTGTTTTGTTTTGTTTTTAATGTGTCTACTAGAAAATATAAAATAACACTCATGGCCCCGATTACATTTTTCTTGGACAGTGCTGCCTCCAAGGTTTTAGAACCACTTGAAGTATTTTTATTTTTTGATACCTGGTTTTTACTGGTGTGTGATACTGTTCCTATGCCAGTTTTCTCACACATGCCACAAAATTTAGGCGAGTGTTTCATCAGAAAAATTCATCTTTAAAAGGCCTAACTCCCAAGTGACTCTCATAGTGCAAAAACATGTACAGGGTTGATATTTTGGCCATATGCTTTGATTTAAATATTAATGTTGCCACGTGCATTT